CTCTCCCCAGGCCTGCCAGCTTTACCCCAGTGCAGGCTGTCTGGGAGCTGGAGGTAGGAGCCCTTTTATGCGATGGCCCAGCAACTTGCTTCTGAGGTTTGAAAAGGGGAGCCATGGGGAGGGGCTTTTGCTGCTGCCACCCAACTTGTCCACACCCTGCCCAGATCCAGAATCCTGATTCTTAGGGTTTCTCTGACATGCGATTTTCTTTTCAGAGCTGGACCTCCCCGCAGTCAGATGAGTGGTAGCAACCCATGAAATGGACGCAGGGTTTTGACGCACAGAACAAAGTTGGCACTGCTACAGGAAGAGGCCAGGAGGCAGGTGTGTGGATTGGGAGTATCCTCCTGGCCACACCTGCGGTTTAGACTTCCACGCTTCTTTTTTTTTTTTTTTTTTTTTTTTGAGACGGAGTTTCGCTCCTGTTACCCAGGCTGGAGTGCAATGGTGCGATCTCGGCTCACCGCAACCTCCGCCTCCTGGGTTCAGGCAATTCTCCTGCCTCAGCCTCCTGAGTAGCTGGGATTACAGGCACGCGCCACCATGCCCAGCTCATTTTTTGTATTTTTAGTAGAGACGGGGTTTCACCATGTTGACCAGGATGGTCTCGATCTCTTGACCTCGTGATCCACCCGCCTCAGCCTCCCAAAGTGCTGGGATTACAGGCTTGAGCCACTGCGCCCGGCCAGACTTCCACACTTCTTACAGAACTGTTCCCACCCTCCCCAGGGCCCCAATCTACTCTCCACTAGTGAATAGCAATAGCTGCCATTGGAAGATGCATCTAGTGCTATCTACTATGCTAAGTGCACCACACACACTCCCCATTTAACTCTCACAGCAACCCTGTGGGGTAGGCCCCAGGCCCGTCTGGTGATGGGACACAGAACCCAGAGCTGGTGCTTTGATCACTAGGCTAAGTACTCAGCTATACGGGCAATGAACACAGAACCTCCTAACAGAGAGACAGCACCCGGGGTGAGGAGAGGGAACCGAGAGGTCGCAGGAAAGAGACACACCAGCCAAGCTCTTGCTCCAGAGGTAAAGGTGAAGAAAAGCCTCGTATCCATCTCCCATTTCCAATTCCTGACTTGTATTTTGTTTACTATTATTATTTATAGACTTAGGGAGTATAAATGTAGTTTTGTTACATGGATATATTGCACAGTGGTGAAGTCTGGGCTTTTAGGGGAACCATCACCAACCCAGTGTACCTTGTACCCAATACTGGCTCCGATTTTGGGTTGTGTAGGAAAGTCCTATGCTGTGGGTGGTGTGTGTAGGGGTGTTGGCTTCATAGACGGAGCTTGAAAGGAACTTTTGAGAACATTTGTTCCAAGTCATTGTTTTACAGATGAGGAAACTGCGGTTTACAGCACAGAAGTGACCAGCCCAAGGTTTCAAAGTGAGTTTGAAAAAAAGAAGACAGAACTGGGCTCACACCCAGGTCTCTGAATTCCCAGTTGAGGCCTCTGTGTTTCACACCACTTCTCCTAGGTCCAGGAGATACTGTTTCTTGGGAGAGACCTCCCCGACCCACACTGCTATTTCCATCAGGGATCAAGAGATGAGAGAGCCAGTGAGCAAAGAGGCTCAGGGAGGTGGGGAGGGGGGACTGGGCTCTCTCAGAATAGCCAACCCTTTCTTTCTTTTGCCCTAAGGAGTTCTTTCCCTTGTCTGACCAGAAAGAGGGCAGACATCCAGGTGTCCGATTCAGGGGAATAGAATGGAGAAGACATATGCCTGGACTGGGCCTAACCCCGGCTCCCCGCTTTCAGCGGGAGAAATACTTGTGTTGTCTACCATGTGGACATCAGTAAGATGTTTTCCCTCTCAACTGTTTTATGGGGGGTGGGCGGGTGGGCAGGGAGGTCTGAAGCAAATGTAGAAACAACCAAAATAGAGCTAGGAGGGCTGGTTCTGGAGGCGGTGGAAGAACGGACTGATTAGCTGGTTTGGCTGTGGCCGTCAGACGCCTGACCTGGGGTGGGCAGGCTGTGCAGGCTTGGCTGTCAGGGAGTGACCCACAGGGATGCCATCAGGCCAGGGAAGCAGCACAGCCCCCCAGAACATCCTACTCCACTGAGTCTGGCCTCTCTCCGGATCCTGGCTGGACACCACCTCTCGGCATCCTCCGTGTGAGGTGGTGGGCCCTGGCCTCACAATTCCTGCTTTTCAAGGCCCACATCAGGTTTCAAATGCCAAGTTTATAAATGCCTGGTTTCAAGGAGAAACGGATGTGGTGACAACATAATCACCAAGCAGTTCCCTTGGGTCACAGCCTCCCTTAAGAGAGTTGGGGTGCTTCATCCCACCCTTCTCCCATTCCCACTCGGCAGCCAAATCCAGTTGGGTAAGGTAACCCACTTCTGAGACCACCCCGCCCCATCACTTTGGAAAAGTCACCTAACCTCTCTGGAGAGCAGTTTCCTGATCATCAGCACAGGGACAGCGCTTCCTGCTCTTGACTACATCATGGGACTAGAACAAGAAAGAACTCTGAAGACTAAGACTGCAGAAGTGGACTGACCACAGCTTTTCATTACCTCATTTCCTAGGGGATGAGGGCTTCACCTCCATTGGGTCCCAGATACAGGACAAATGAACAATAATTCAGAAAAACATGGCTACTGCCCACCTTCCTGCCTCTGATGAAGATGGAAGAGGACAGAAGTAAAGTAAGGGGCCCAGGGGTTGTACTGCTGGCTCTGTCTCTGTGATCCGGGTTAAATCACCCAGTCTCTCTTCCTCTGCTGCCTCACTATGAATAAGAGGGCTGGACTGCGCGATCGCCAAAAGTCATTCCAAACATTTCCAGTGTGAGTGATTTCTGTTTCAGACTCCATAGCTCATGAACTGTACCTACGCCAGGGCTGGGGGTGGGGGGTTCTGAATACAAGTAGGGTGGCAGGCTGGGGACAGTATGGACAGATTGCAGGCCAGCAGGCCACAGACAGAGCAGATACCAGGTGGCCCTAGGAGCCTTGCCTCAGCTTCCTGTGTAAGCCATGGGGCAGATGGGGGGAGGGAGGCACACTGTGGCAGTCTGTGTTTCCCTACGGTCCCAAACCTCCATGCAGTCTAGGTACACAGCTGAGGACTAATCAACACACCGGCAGGAGAGACCGTACCAGGGAGGGGAGAGGAAAACTCCCAAAGGTCAGGGGTGGGTGAGGCCAGCTGCCTTCCCTCATAGTTCTCTGCTACCAGGGATTGGCGAGAGGAAGAAGCTAAGCCTGGCAGCTGGCTGGCTGCTGGGGTGGGTGGCAGCACAGGAGGGGTGCCCACTGCAAGCAGGGTCTCTTTAAAGCAAGTCAAGGTTTGGAGCACACCTGTGTGCCATCCTCACTAGGGTATGGTTGGGTATGGGGACTGATGCACCAGGGCTGGCCAGTCTTGGCAAGTTCAACCACCCCTTCAGCTCTGGGGAGGAGTAAATCTTAGGACATTTGCCTAAGGAGGCTGTGGGTACCTGAGTGACCAGCTCCAGGGGGAATAAGTGCCCTTTCTTTTTTTTTTTTTTTTGAGACAGGGCTCACTCTGTCACTCAGGCTAAGTATAGTGGTGCAATCATGACTTACGGCAGCCTTGACCTCCCAGGCTCAAAGGATCCTCTCATCTCAGCCTTTTGAGTAGCTGGGACCACAGATGTGTGTCAACATGCCCAGCTAATTTTTGATTTTTTGTAGAGATGGTGGGGGGGTGGGTCTCACTATGTTACCCAGGCTGGTCTTGAACCCTGGATGAAAGTAGTCCTCCTGCCTCAGCCCCTCAAAGTGCTGAGATTACAGGCATGAGCCACTGTGCCTGGCCAAGTGCACTTTTTTGTTACAAGGCTCTGGTGGCATGCACCTGTTTCTACATCCATCTATCCTGAGAGTGGCACAGACTACCTCTCTATACGCTTTCCTGCCTGCAGAGAGGCAAATATTGTCACGTGTGTGCAGGCAATGTGGCTACAGAAACAAGGACACAAAGGTTTCCTATTCCTTGCTTCTGTCGCCTCTGTCTTCCCATTTGTAAACACTAAGTGGCATGCCGCGGGTGTCCCTGGAGCTCCTGGCCCCGCTGGCCTCTCGAGATGAACGTCCGCTCTGCGCCCTGCCTGGCCTTGGGTGGGCTGGCTGGAAGGGGAGGGGAGGGGAGGGGAGGGGACGAGGCTGAGGCCCTCCCAGGCCGGCAGCCGGCTGGCACCTGATCTCTCCCGGAAATGCACACACAGGACTCATCCCACTAGAGGCGCAGATAGGCATCTGCCCGTCCTCTCCCCAACTCTCAGAGTTCTCTCCAGTGAAGATACTTATCGCCTTTGAAAGAAATCAAGACAAGCTAGTCTTTCAGGTAGCTTCTAGGGAGCGTGGCGCTCTCACGGCGGCTCAGAATCCTTCTGAGGGCGCGGGGGCCTGCGAGGTTCCTCCTCAAGGGCGGAGGGGCCCCTGACTCTGACTCAGGGACTGGGTCCAGGGGCCGGACCCGCCGCCGGGGCACCCCTTACGCTCCTGTGTAAAAGTGAGAGCAGCTCTTGGCTGAGCTCTCTCCTCGCCCGCACCCTCCCTTCCTCGCGCCCCCTACCACCTGGGAGACCCCACCCGGCCACGAGACGCACTGCCCGCCACATCCTCCTTGGCCCAAAGAGGGGTGCCCCGCTTCTCCCTGCCTTCACCTCTGGCACTCAGAGAGGCTTGGGCTGGGAGGAGACACACAGCCCGGCTCAAATCCTAGGCGAGCGATAAAGGGCTCAGGACCCGCCCGCACGCCCCTACTCAGGAGGGTCGGGATCCCACTCCCGCTGGGCGGTGATGAGCCTCCACCCGAATGCGCCCGTCCCGCCCGGCTCCGGACCCGGCCGTGGAGCCACCTGGGAGCCGCAGGGCCCTCTCTCTTCCCGCCCGGAGCCTGCCCGGTGCGGGCAGTGCCAGCTGCAGGCACCCGCGGCCAGTGTCCGGGGCCCGCGAACAGGTGGCCCCGGAGAGGGGCGCGCGGCAGTCGCGCTCACTTACCCAGAAGATGAAGTTAAATCCGAAGAGCAGGTATTTGATGCACTTGGTGCCTCCTTTGACCGGCATGGTGAGGGCTAGCCTGGGCTGGGCCGAACGGGTGCGGGACTGGGTGGCGCGCGCAGCTGGAACGGGCGGGACCCGGCGCAGGACAGAGATGCAGGCGGCTGCGGGCTGGCCTTGGCTGCACTTTTAAAAAGTGCCACTCCTTAGGACGCCCGAGCCGCTGCGGTGCGCATGTGCCGGGAAAAGCCGCCCCCACACCCCCCGCCGGCCACGCCCCCCGCCCCCCGGCCACGCCCCGGCCGCGCCCCGCCCCCGCCCCCGCCCAGGTCCCGCGCGCCCCGGCCCCACCCGCCCCGCGGAGCCGGACCGTCTCCGTGTTTCCCAGCCTCGCTCCCGCACAGCCCCGCCGAGTCGCCCTCCCCACCACCCGCCATCCCCTCCTCCTTCCAGCCGCCTTGGTCTTTCCAGCCGCCACTCCCTGCCACTTTCACCGGGGACTTTTGTGGAGGCCTCGCCCTTCCGGTTCCCCAGCGTTTGGTCTGGGCGCCCGGCCCGGCGCTTTGCTTTGGGAGACTCTCCCCGGGTCGTCTGGGCTAAAGGCCCCTTGCCCGAGGCCGGCTGCCAGAATGAGGGGCCCTTCTGCTTTGCCAGGATTAGAGGGAAGCCGCCTGGCCTAATTTCGCCCCCGGCTGTCTCCTTGCAAATCTTCGCTCGCTGGCCATACTTTTCACTGGGCACAGCACGTGGGGTAGGAGGAATTAGAAGCGCGCTGTCTGGGTGGGTAGACGGATGGAAGTAATTAGCAAGTACCTATCACCGAATAACAACAGGGCTGAGGGCTGGGCAGTCCCCAAGCGCTTCCTTAATTTGAGGGTCAGTGGCCCCAGAGGGTTTGTCGCCGGCTGCTGTTCTCTGCTTCTCCGCCCCACCCTCCCTCCTGCGTCTTTGGACTTGCTGCTGCCTTGGACTGCTCCAGACGCCGAGTTCGGAGCCTTTCTCCTCAGCTCAAAAACTTTCTGTACCTCTCCAGATTCAAGGACCTAGGTCGAAATTCCTCTTCCTGCCTTCAAGGCCCTGTACAGCGCACTCATCTGACTTCTGCCGCACCCGGAGCCCCGCTCCTACCCCGCGGTCACAGTGCCCAGCTCTGCGCGCGCTGGCTGGCTGGCTCTCCCCGCGGCACTTGTAGAAATTCTGTGGGTCTTTCAACACTCCTTTCCTGATTCTCTGGACTGGACGAGGAGAGTCCCCTTCTTCTGAAGTCCCAGAATCCCTTTGTATTTTTTTCAAAATGAAGTTCCCTTTTTTTTTTAGACGGGGTTTCACCGTGTTGGTCAGGCTGGTCTTGAACTCCCGACCTCAGGTGATCCGCCCGCCTTGGCCTCCAAAGTGCTTGGATTACAGGCGTTAGCCACCACGCCCGGCCTCAAAATGAAGTTTCCTTTAGTGTCCTTGATTATTACAAAAGCAAATGCAGTCCTTACAGAAACAGCAGAAATACCAAGAATTAAAAGGCACAGCACTGAAAATTCTCACCAGAAACAGCCACTGTTAGCACATTGTTGCTGTTATTACCCTGTTTATTATCATAGAGCTGTCTCATTGATTCAAAAACATTTTTCAGTATCTATTAGGGTATTTCATTAGGGGTAGGAGCTGAAAAAAAAAAAAAAAAAGGATTATCCCTTGTTTCTGCTCAGGGTCCGGTGCAGGAGGAGACAGGCAGCCAGACAATGGGTGGTGGATGATAGGTGGAGTTACAGAGAGAGGCTTGGGGGCCAAGTGACTAAGGAGGGGTCTCAGACCCAGACTGGGAAGTGATGCTGCAGAACCACAGGGAAAGTTGCCGCCAAGGGAGAATCCTGGGCAAAGGCTGAGGCAGGGGCTGCCCGGGCTCTGGGCTGGAGCTTGGAGTCATGGAGAGGTTTGTCCGGGGTGAGGAAGAGCCTTGCGCTCCTGAACTTTGAACTCTGAGCATTAGGGGCCACTGAAGGGTCGAAGCAGGGGAATGGTTGGATCTGCTGTTTTTTTCTGAGGTTCTCTGCCTGTGTTTTAGGCAGTTAGGTGGGGGAAGGCTGGAGGGGCAGGTAGGAAGCCCCTTGAGGACAAGGACCATTATCTCCAGTCCTTGACTCAGTGCTTTAGGGGATTGCATGGAACGTGGAGATGTTGTATTTGGGGAGATGCAGTTGGCTGATATGAGGGAAGCAGTGGGAGATGAAGGTTGAGCTGAGGACCAGGTGCAAATCTGCTAGCAGGCTGTGGAGTAGCACAGGTGAGAGAAGTGAATGAAAGTGGGGCATTGGGATAAAGGCTGGAGAGGGCAGGGCAAAACCCCCTGAGGGGTCAGGGTGTGGAGGGGAAGGAGAGATCAGAGGCAGAGTAGCAGAAGCTAGGAACAAGTGGGGGCACAGGGCACATCCCCAAGTCAATCTGAGTCTGGAAGGCTCCCCAGAGCAGGGGACATTGCAGCCACTGACTTGACTTGGGAAGGTGGGTCAGTAGGCAAGGCGGAGCAGGGAATTCGAAGCAGAGGGAACTATGTATGCAAAGACTTAGAAGCAGGAAGCTGCAGGCAGCTGGCTGCACTGGGGAAGGTACCGATAGTGGTAGATGGGGTGGAAGGAGGACGAGGAAGGAGAAGCAGGGACTCAATGGAGCCTACTGCCAAGGAGGGCAAGCAGAGGAATTCTAGTGATGCCGGACTTTACACATCCTAACCGGTGTCCAGGATGATTCCAGCACAGGGCAGGAGTGTGAAGCCCGCTGGAGGGCAGCGGGTGGGAAGTAGGCCAAAAACCAGACAATGTTTCTTTGTGCTGCTTTGGGCCTGCATCCATCTGTGTTGGGAGAACAGGTCTTAGGGAAATAAATGTTTTAGCCCATCTCTCCCTTTTCCCAAGTTAACAAAGACTGGTGGGAGGAGTTCCGTAAATATTTAAGTTTATAATAGAAATGACTTACCTTTTTTTTTTTTTTTGAGATGGGGTCTCGCTCTGTTGCCCAGGCTGGAGTACGGTGGTGTGACCTCAGCTCACTTGCAACCTCTGCTTCCCAGGTTTAAGCAGTTCTCTGACTCTACCTCCCAAAGTAGCTGGGATTACAGGCGCATGCCACCACGCAGGACTAATTTTTTGTATTTTTAGTAGAGACAGGGTTTCACCATCTTGGCCAGGCTGGTCTTGAACTCCTGACCTCGTGATCCACCTGCCTCGGCCTCCTAAAGTGCTGGAATTACAGGCGTGAGCCACCGCGCCCGGTCCAGAAATGACTTCTTAGAGTAAACTGAGTGTTGAAACAGGTAATCCACAGTGAGACGTTAGAACCTGCCTGCCACAGTAAGCGCTGCAGAAATGCTGTTGCTCCTATTCCTATTATCATTTACAATGAAGAAAGAATTGGGGGCAGCCTATAGTTTAGTGCTGCATTCATATAATCAAGGCGTCTTTATTATGCAATAAGAGCATTGGATCTGAAGTGAGGGGGTCTAGTTCTACTCTTGGCCCTGACCCTTTGGTCTATATTAGGCAGGCAGCCTCCTCTCTGGGCATCGGTCTCCTCACCTGTACAAGAGTGTTGTGAAAGGAAAAGAAATCTCAGGACTCCAAAATCACTAAGCCAAAGGGAGAAATCAAGTTGGGAACTGCCACAGGTAAACTTGCCTCCCATTTTATTCCTAAATAAGATAGCTACCAAGATTTTTAAAAAAACGTTTAAACTGGTTATCTATTTAGAGAGAGGGGAAAAAAAAAAAAAAAAAAAAAAAAGAAGACTATAAATGGGCTGGGTGTGGTGGCTCCCACCTGTAATCCTAGCAGTTTGGGAGGCAGAGGTGGGAGGATCATGAGGTCAGGAGATCAAGACCATCCTGGCTAACACGGTGAAACCTCGTCTCTACTAAAAATGCAAAAAAATTCACCAGATGTGGTGGCACACACCTGTAGTCCTAGCCACTCGGGAGGCTGAGGCAGGAGAACGCGGGAGGCGGAGGTTGCAGTGAGCTGAAACTGTGCCACTGTGCTCCAGCCTGGCAACAGAGCAAGACTCCGTCTCAAACACACACACACACACACACACACACACACACACACACACACAACAGTTTAAACTGGTTATTCTAGTTGGGGTGGGGGGAAACGCTATGAATGGGCTGGGCGTGGTGGCTCACACGTTTAATCCCAGCACTTTGGGAGGCCGAGGTGGGCGGATCATGAGGTCAGGAGATTGAGACCATCCTGGCTAACACTGGCGAAACCCGGTCTCTACTAAAATCAGCCAGACGTGGTGGCACATGCCTGTAGTCACAACTACTCGGGAGACTGAGGCAGGAGAATTGCTTGAACCTGGGAGGTGGAGATTGCAGGGAGCCGAGTTCACACCCCTGCACTCCAGCCTGAGCAACAGAGCGAGACTCTGTCTCAAATAATAATAATAATAATAAAAAGCTATGCACTTCCCTCACAATTTGCCCACTAGGAAGTTCTTTGTGGGCCCTATGGTATTTGTCCTAAAACAGTTCTGTTGAATTTCACCCGACCAACGTAAACGGATAGCTTATCTTCACAGATACTAAAAGGACAGAACTCTGAGTCATCCCTCCGCTCACCTGAGACAAATGCATATCTGATTGCTTCCTCCAATGTAAAAATGCAGATCCACTGAGCTAGACAAGGCATAAGCGACCATTTCTCTACCCTCCTCTGCCATGTAACTTGTGCATTCAGTGAGAGGATGATCAGAGACTCGAAAGAATGCAACCATTTGTCTCTTACCTAATTTCTTAACTGGATGAGAAATAATTTCTTCCTCTTTCCCCAACAGCCGCCTTTTAAATATTGGAGCCCGGCCGGGCGTGGTGGCTCAAGCCTGTAATCCCAGCACTTTGGGAGGCCGAGGCGGGTGGATCACGAGGTCAAGAGATCGAGACCATCCTGGTCAACATGGTGAAACCCTGTCTCTACTAAAAATAAAAAAAAAAATTAGCTGGGCATGGTGGCGCGTGCCTGTAATCCCAGCTACTCAGGAGGCTGAGGCAGGAGAATTGCCTGAATCCAGGAAGCGGAGGTTGCGGTGAGCCGAGATCGCGCCATTGCACTCCAGCCTGGGTAACAAGAGTGAAACTCCGCCTCAAAAAAAAAAAATAAATAAATATAAATAAATAAATAAATAAATAAATATTGGAGCCCTCAAAATCATCTTTGCAGAAGGCACAGATCTGCCTGCTGGGTGCATGTCTGTAACATTGGCAA